AATCTTTTAGTTTATTAAGCTTCCTCTTAGAATTTGACATATCGTCATTTGAATTATCGAAATCCAACCTAGGATTATTTAACAAAGTATTTGCTGGGGAAATCGTAGCATCGCCATTGTATTCGGACGCACTAGTATTTGAAGGAGATGGGGACGATGGCTTCGAATGCAATATTATATCCCCTAGCATGAGGTATTCTTGATTAAGGTAATTGGAATTGAACATGGTATCTATGCTTCTCCTGTTCGAATCCATTTCAGGTTGCTCAGATATTGAATCCCTTAGTGATATAGAATCCGAATCTATTGGTTCGCTATATAATAATTTATTCAATACATCGTTTGTTGTGTCAAGCATGGTATTTGAAGGGACCGTAGGTCTCTGGTCTACGTAGTGCAGTATATTTGATGGTCCAGGTTGATTCTGCGATGTATTTTCTTGCTGTATTGACTGTAAATCTCCTCCCATGTTTAAGTCTGGTTCTTGTTTAATATTGCTATGGGTAGATAGATTCTGCGGAGATTCTGATACACTGGGAGACCTGTAGCTTGACAGCATTGAGTTCGTCCTTGATTTCATTTTCTTCACACCAGAGGTGTTTAAGTACTTTGCCCGTTTCCTAACAACGTCATGGCATTGATCACCTAGGTTTCGCTTCACGCAATTCTTGCAAGGCCTCTCATTAGAGCATTGCAAGTGCTTTGAATGACAAAAAACACAGGCCTTGGAAGCCGGTTTTCTGTTCTTTTTTTCAAGTGGGCTAAGCTTTTTAGTCATCGTGACCGTCTCTATAAGATTCCTTTCGATCGTTACTGATTTGATGGCTTGAATCAGGGTTTAAGAAATTCTGGGGTATTGGATATATTTATTGTAAAAATTCCCGGGAAAACTAGGAAGTGGCCTCGGAAACATCGCACAACATATTTTGGGTGGGGGAAAATGAGTAGGCTACCTTAGCAGCTGAATTCAAGCACACTGGCAATAAATCATATGTATATGATGCTATATGTCTACATATATGTAGTCTGTCTAATTCTACATCCGCTGCACTAAATTTTATACAGCCTTTGTACTAATCTAAGACAAGATCATTAGATCTGATTTTATCGTTAAAAATTTTTGTTTATGCGGAATTGGACTCCGCTAAAACACATTTCCAGCCCTTCCTAAAATTCCCTTGATTATGCTTGGAATTATATCATCCTGTTCATTTATGTACAGTAATCTACGGCAAAATAGATTTCAAATTTAGAAACTCGCTCGTGCTACATTCACAGTTGTATAGATAGAACTATACTATACTACTTGAGACTATTCAAGCCAAAATTGCAGCAAGTAGCCCTCCCAATCGTAAATCTACCATAATCTTGAACTTAGGTAAGATTCGCGTATTTTTCGCTTCGTTTGATGAGCCATTTGGAGGGGCTCATTTCCAACGCTTCTACAAGCACATCCTGACAACAAATTCTAAACTAGCCAAAAGGTGGGCTAAATCTCGACTGCATATAGATATTCTGGTTACATTTTTCGTACTTTTCACGTTCCCTTTCGAAGCTGGATTATTTTTATTGTTCGCTGTTTACCCGTCCCTAGGCTTATAATTAAAACTTAGGAATATTCTTACGTAAGGTGATTTTAGCCTCGCCTCGATCATTGTTACTGCTTGGGCTATTCTCGCTTACATCTGCGGCTAAATACAGAAGACCCAAAAATGATCACAATTCTTTAACATTGCACTGGCAATACACTGACATATCATTACCTTCTCTTTGTCAAGTATTGAGGCCAAAATAATGCAGTGCAACCTAAATGTATGTGCTTCCCATATAGCAGTAAGATCATCCATAGAATCATCAGATCCAGTCATCAACACCTCAAATGTGTAACAACATGCAGTAACACGCTAATCAATTTTTCACCAGTTTCCTCTATTCAGGAACAAAATTAAGCAACTTTACCAAAGTGTAAGTATAGGAGGCTCGCCTGTCGCCCAATTAACCTGTCAGCTACAGACTGTCCCTCCCACTCCTGGGGATTCGCTGCTTGTATTACTGATACTTGGAATTTGGTTGGTCGAACGCTCAAACCATGCATCGAGTCCTAAGTACCTATATTCGTGTAGGAGCAAAAAAAATTTTGTGCCTGGGAGATAGCATCGCAATGTTTCTTCGACTGTATGCAAGCAAGCCCAAGAAAGCCGTGCTGTTCATGGAACAATACCGAATACAAAATTCTTGTCTTTAACGAGTAACGTATCTTCCCCTATGTCTGAAATGCGTGAATACAGTACGCCCTCGCCCTATCACATACTTTTAACAACATTTGTACATCTTATTGTTAGGCGAATGTGACTACACTTTGTAAACCCGTGCTGGCTGATCCTATTCCTTCCCCAACTTACAATCCGATTGCGCTACAGTAGTTGGTTTAGCCGTGCCTCTATCGGAGTCGATGTTCTCGGGGAAGCAAATTTTTCTTGTCCTTTTGGAGTACCTACTTCTTTGGTCCACCAAGTGACACACACCTACGGGTGGAGTGCTCTAAGGATACGATATGTGCATGTACTACATACTTCAATGAAATGTCCTCCATCATGCACTGTCAAATTTTCTATTTTACAGCCCACATTATCACTTTCCGCGTAGAGCCCAAGGATATTGTCCAATACCATCTCTCTATCTGTCTTACGATGACATATGTTCATGATTGTTCTGCATATTATACAAGAAATAGGCTGTATTGCTAGAAAAAAAATACATGATAAATCTCCCTGCACACAAACAATGTCACTATTAAACACCTTTAATGAAAAATATTTGGGGGACTATATGTTTTTTTTTTCTATTTTCTCTGGGTAAGGAGATTCGATACTAATGATTCTACCTAGGCTTTATAACAAGAGACACAGAAATGGTATTCGATTAATGTTTGTCGCCAGTTTCGTGATACTATCTTTGCACCGGTTCTTATCAGACAATGTTGAGCAATACATGCTTGAGAACCAAGCTTTGAATTTGAACCGAGAATCCAACTTCAATCCTCGAAATATAGCCTACGCTGTTTATTCGCATATAAATTCGTACAACGATGAAGATGATATGAGGGATACGATCACCTCGAAGATTAGTGGGGAAAATGGGGAAATATACTTCCATTGGGATGATTGGGTAGATTTGCTGCAGATCGACCATATACTTCGAAAGTACCGAACGGATTCGCCTGGGGGTAAGTGTGATAGGGTACTCGATAAGTTTGCGAATGTGAACGGGTATTTCATGGAGTCATATAATAAGAAGGTGTCGAGAGGAATGGCCGATTTATATTGCTTGAAAGATATACCAACCAAGATTATCGCAGTCACGGACGAGTCTATGGTTGAGGTACCTGTCCATGGGAAGAAACGGATTGGTCCATCCAATTTGCCGGCAAATGTAACCAAGGACCAGTTGGTAGAAGAAATGCTTAAAGTTCAAAACACAATGCTGTCTAGATTCGAACTGAAGCCATTAAAGAGCGCTCAAAAATCCGTCAACGTTAAGGCGGAGGATTTCATATTCAATCCTGACCTTGAAATTTTCAAGTTACGGGAAAAGTTGAATACCGATACTATCAAACTGTCCGAATATACGTACTTGAAGTTTTTGGAATACTCCAATAAATTAGTTGAATACTCGGGCAGATATTTTAAATATCCTTGGATTGTTTCTGATGTAGTCCAAGGTCATTCTCATCATCTTGCATATCCTTTCTTCAGAAGATTCATTGGAGATCGTGAAAGGCAAAGCGTACTTCACCACATGATACGAGCATGGTTTCAGTTTGCCGAAGCTGCAGAAATGCCAAGCTGGATAAATTATGGTTCGTTATTAGGATGGGCGCATAATGGAGTAAATATGCCATGGGATACGGATGTGGATGTTCAAATGCCGATTGTTCATTTGGACAAACTAGGAAGAGAGTATAATCAATCTATTATACTTGAAAATCCAAGATATGGTAATGCGAAATATCTTCTTGAAATTGCTCCTACGTATATAAGGCAAGGAAATGGTAAGAATTTTATTGATGCAAGATTTATTGATATTAACTCAGGTCTTTATATCGATATATCTGCCTTGTCTCATTCGGGAAGTACTCCACCAAATGACTTATTTGACGGATTATCTAAAAAAGAAGAACACAAATCATTACTGGTTCATTGTAAGAACTGGAATTGGCATACTCTAGATGAGATTTTACCAATAAGACACACCTATTTTGAAGGTGGTGATGCATACATACCGAATAATGTTTCCAGGATTTTGAGTAGAAAATATGGGAAAGAATCATTTACTACTAAGACCCGTGCTTTCAATCATAATTACCAGAAGGACATTAGTTTATGGGTGTCTGATGACTTATGTGAAAGTGCACCTAACATTAATAGGTTCCAAAATAATGACAAAAGTAAATTAACATTAAAGGGTGCTTGTGATGAAATAGTATTACAGGATGAATACCAGATTGCTTATGAATGTACTGAAAGACATAAACAATTGGAGTTAGATGTTGATAATAGTGTAGAATATCAAATAGATGAGAAAGGAAATTTACCTTACTTTCGAAAGGATGCATGGGATTATTATAACGATATCAATAATAATGCTGTTAATAATGATCGTTGGTATATAAAAGAAGATGTTGTTTAGCATTAATTTCAAAATAAATTTAACTATCGTAATTAGGAAGTGTAATTTGTAGCTGAATTGGCATTATATTGCTAAGTAGCATTTAGAGTCTACAGGCAGTCCATTTTGACATTCTGTTCTTCGGCAACATTAAAGCAACGCCTAATCCAATAATTAATTGTATTTACAGAGTACTTTTGGTGAACAAAATTTTTCAACAATGTTACTATACTAAACTTGCTTGAATTGTGGATTACATCATCAAAATTATTCTTTAGCATGCTTTAGTTTGCTTTAGTATACTTTTGATATGTTTTTCCCGTCAGGGACTACTATTTATTCAATTCTCTAACTAAAAAACTTTCCAATTCAAATTGACCATCCACATTACTTGCGATCTCAATTTGATGTGGATATTTATCTTCACTCATGAAAAATGTGTTTGTCATGGTTTGAATACCATCGTTGAAATATAACTCTAAAATATTTTTGTCGACTATTCCATAGATCTTATAAACAGGCATATCATTTTCATCATAATGTGCTGGCTCGACGTGAGTTGAGAACTTGTTGGTGAAATAAGGGTTATCATTAAATTCAACGTTTGGAATATCGCGATTAAAGTAGAAAGCAGAGACACTTGTGTCAAATCCCACTTTTATAGATTCAGTGCTTGAATTCGATGTTTGAGAATGAATCAAAATTTCTAGTTTGGAGCTAGAGCTCATGTCGCTGCTCTCTCCGACAACCTTAAATGTAGCATTAAAGTCAAGCAAACCTGTGGAAGAGCTGAAGTCCGTGATAATCGTGCCATTTTCATTCAACAAGTGATTATTCTTCTCAATTTTGTCAGTAACATCAAGATTATCCAAAATAGGCGTTTGAATTAACGTCAATACTTTTGTCTCAACGCTCTGATTGACATAGCCCAAAGTATACTTTCTAGCCAAGGACATCGAACTTCTCCAGGGATTAGTAGGCACAACGTTAGCATATTGCCAATTAGACGCCCATGCTAAACCGACAACATCTTGCTCGTTACCGCTAAATGTTTGGAAAGCATAGAAATCTTTACCAGAATCCATAAATCTAGTAATCGAATCATCTTGTTTAAATTCAAAACCATCAAACTCTCCAATAAAATATTGGTTACTAGATCCGCCATTCGGAGACCCTGGGTTAATTGCCAAGAACATAACCCATTTAAAATCATTGGTATCTTCAATTGGAATCTTAATTAATCCTGGACATTCATATTGATTTCCTAAATAACCCGATGTAAAATTGGAATGCAAATCCCAAGTTTTCAAATCACAAGAACCGAATATCTGGATTTTAAACTCCTGTGACTTCAGAACAACCATAATCCATTGGTTTGTTTCTTCATGCCAGAATACTTTCGGGTCACGGAACTGAGTAGAATTCACATCTATAACAGGGTTTTTTTCGTACTTGGTAAACGTTTCTCCACCATCTAAAGAATATGCAATATCTTGAGTTTGAGAGTCCGGAGTCGAGTTAGTATAAAAGGCAACAACCCTCTGATCTTTGTCGACAGATTCATCAAAAAAACCCGAAGTATTGTTGTGATCAATCACAATACTCCCAGAGAAAATTCCTTCATCATCATTTTCAGGACTAAGTGCAACCTGATGCTCTTCCCAATGTGTCAAATCCTTAGAACTAGAATGTCCCCAGTATAACGGCTGTCCCCAGATGGTATCATTTGGGTTATATTGGTAGTATGCATGCCAAAGACTAGCTTTTTTATCATAAAATAGACCATTCGGATCATTCATCCATCCGACATTTGGAGTCAAATGAATTAGAGGTCTGTTATATGCAGACGTATCCTTACCAGTATCGATAAACGAAGCAACTACCAGCTCTAAAAGAGCACTCAGCAAGAAAGAAGCAACTATAGTATTGACTTTCATTCTATTTTGTACATTATTCTATATCTTATCCAACACAAGTGGATACATGGTGGTTTTATACCTTAATATTTTCTTCCTGGGATTATAGCTCGGATTATCTACATAATTTTTTCTGCCCTCCCCCCACAAAAAGTAGAATAAACAACCACTTTGGTTCACTCCGGCAATTTTACGTTTTTTTTTACAGCAATGAATAGGAAAAATACTGCCAAGCAGAACCTCGAAACAACATATCTATTGTACTCAACTTAGGAACAATACAATTTCTTAATATTCGGAGCGAGAAATAATCCGAGCAATACGTCATTCTCAATTATGGGGTATTAAACATATAAAAATGCTGCGAGGCCTCATGGCTGCATATACTATTCAGACGGTGGAAAATATTATTGGTGGGAGCTGAAATATCTTCCGGGGAAAACCTTAGGTATTCAACTATTGGTTCCAATATGAGTAATGTTGCAGGAACAATACCACATCGGAAGATTTATGCGTCGTGAACTGCATCCTATAATGATCAACTCCCGGTTCGAGTACAATAGATTGCAACTCTATTTACGTGCGGAGCAAATATTCAATTATTATTCTGCTTGATCGTTTATTGAAATGTTGGGGCTTTTCTGACCAACTTTCAGAATCAACGACATAAATAGAGCCATTATATTAGTGTATTCATAAAATTGTTCTTGGTTCAATAAAGATGATTTTCCCTAAGAAACTAGCAGTTATTTCGACGCTTATCTTTGGTTCTACACAAGCCTACGAAAATGGATTAGGCCTCACGCCTCAAATGGGGTGGAACTCATGGAATATCTATGGTTGTGATATTAATGAGACAGTTATCATTGAAGCAGCTGAAAAAATTAAGGAATTAGGGTTACAAGATCTTGGATATGACTATATAGTTATGGATGATTGTTACCAATTGCATGAAAGAGACAATATCACGCACAAGATTGTAGCTGATCCTGAGAAATTCCCCAATGGTATCAAGCACGTCGCAGATTCTATTCATGATTTAGGCTTTAAGTTTGGTATGTATTCTTCTGCTGGTAGATATACATGCGGAGGGTATCCTGGGTCTTTACATAACGAAGAATTAGATGCAGAAACATTTGCGGATTGGGGAATTGATTATTTGAAATATGACAATTGTTACAATGAAGGCAACAGTGGTACAGCGCAAATCAGCTATAAGAGGTATGATAAAATGGCCAAAGCTTTGAATGCCACTGGAAGACCCATTTTCTACTCTTTATGTCAATGGGGAGAAGATAATGTATGGAATTGGGGGTCTACAGTTTCAAACTCTTGGAGAATTTCTGGAGATATATATGATCACTTTGACCGTTATGACGACCGATGCCCTTGTGAATCTTATGAATGTCTTGGCCTACAAGGGTATATGTGCTCCATGACTAACATATTAGAGAAAGCTATTCCTCTTGGACAAAAAGCAGGTACAGGACAAGGATGGAACGACTTAGATAGTCTTGAAGTAGGAAATGGTGGTATGAATTATGATGAGTATGTTTCTCATTTTACACTTTGGGCTATCTTGAAAAGTCCTTTAGTTTTAGGTAATGATGTTACAAATATGACTGACGAAGACTTGGGTATTGTTAAAAATGCTCAAATAATTGAAGTTAATCAAGATTTATCTGCTCCAGCACACAGAGTTTGGAAAAAATCTGTCAAAGGAGGATCACTTCAATTATTTGCAGCTACTTTGTCTGATGAGTCACAAATTGTAGCAATTTTTAACAGTGGTGATAATGAAGAAAATACAGAACTCTTATTTGAAGATATTTTTGTTGATGATTTGACGATGAAAGACAAATCATATTCTGGTAAAGAGTTATGGACGAATGAAACTTCAACATTTGAAGACAAAATTAGTACTTCTGTCAAAACACACTCTATTAAGATTTGGAAGTTGACTGAAGCCAAATATGCAATTTCTAGTTTCTATATAATACTAAACACCTTAAATATAAATTGAAATATTAAAATGTCTATAATCTTTCTTCCTATTTTCCATAATACTTAAGTTCTATGTATCTTAAAAGTGGATATGTTATACCAGTAAAGGCCATACATATCCAAAACCCAATGTCTCCACCATAGTCTCCAATTTTTCTAGCTATCCATCCTTGCCAATATACTTGGTTCATGCCTACTACCGCACCTACTATTCCTATTGCAAATGACACAAGTGCTGCAATTCCGAATGTTATCAGACCAGGCTTATTCCAACAATCCCAATTATATAAATAATATTTTCCATCTGATTGCTCTGTTTCCTCTATTGCTTCCTCTTGAAATTCTCTATAATGCAACCTTCGAGTTCTTTTTGGACGCCTAAAAATGAAATTTTCTTCAAGAAGAATCGTAATGTACATGGAAATCCAATAAGCTAACATAGGCAAAAAGTTCCCTAAAATGGTGGACAAGTGCTCTCTACCAACCAAAGATATAACGAGATATATAATGGTGCATAATATTGCCCAGCACCACCTTGGAATATGGGCTAATTTAGGATCAATCAATTGAAATTCAAATGCACTTGAATATGTGTTCATAATATTGTTGCACACTAATGAGATATATAAAAGCACAACAATAACTTTGCCAAAATTTCCCCAGGGTTTGCAAGCCTCATTAATTAATCCCCCAACTCCAAACTCTAGATATGCATCGTTCCATGGCTTATACGAATAAGCAATTGTACCACAAATTATACTGATTAAGGCAACGAATGTAGTGGGGACTGATATACCTGTAAAAGTTATCAAGAAAACTTGCCAAGAGGGAGTATTCTCGGGGAACAAAATATAATAGTCAGAAGCGCCTGCACCCCATGTTGCAGTGACAGAATAACCGATTGTAAAGAATGAAAGCCAGTTTCCTCTGACGGTCGCTGCGGATTGATTTTTCTCTGCAAGCACTTCATTGGTAACATTAATATAATCATATTTCTTGCAAACAACCACATAGAACAACATCGAAGCTATTGTTATAGGAATTGCAATAATATTTTGAAATTTGAGGACTATTTTAATACCGAAAACGGCTACCACCAAACTTATAATAGATATAACCACTACACCAATGGATAATGGTACTCCTGAAAGTGCTGCAAGTACCTCACCTCCCAAAACACAATTGACTACTGACCATCCAAGGCTGCTAATTATTACAATAATCGCTACTATTCTAACACCCCAACAACCAAATAAGAACTTAGCTGTAACCATTTGACGGCATCCTGATTTTGCGCCCATTGTTGAACAGTAGGCAGGGACAAGACAACCTACAATCATTGAAACAAGGCCACTAACTAAAGAATCACGAAAATTTAAGTAAAATAATAGTGTTGGTAGAAAAAAGGATGACATTGAAGTCAAACCACCGCATGCTGCTACCCATAAACCCAAAACATTAAGAAATTGTCTTAACTTTGAATGTTTCTTTTTCTGTGCTAACAACTCTCTTTCTTCTGGTGGCACTCTTTCTATACCTCTAGTTTCTATTCCGAATGAATCTACTTTATATACCCATGAGATCCAGCGGCTACTTTTACGCTTTTCATAACTTTTTACTGAAGAAACAAGTTGCAGCTCGCTTTCTTCTATGTTTTCTTTCGACTTTGGATCAAGCATCCCTTTAGTTTTGCAATTAAATTCAGTTATACAATTATACCCTTTGGTGCATCAAGTATATAATAGGCATTGGTGAGATAGCAGCCCAAACTAATGATTTTAGAAAATTTTTCTAAAGTCTTAGGGAATCATTTCTTGAATCATGTAGGCGCATATTGATTATGCACTTAAAAGGAGATTTCAAAATGTGCAAAATAATATACTTATTTTCAATTCAATACTGTCTATAATTCTCTATTTATGCCCACTTGCACAGTTCAATATTTGTCATATTATGGGTCACATTAGCGACGATTTACTAGAAAAATACGAAGAAACGTATCAAAAAGCAATAACACACCTGTTAACAAATGAATTATGTGAAGGAACTTTGCCGGATTTCAAGCTCTTCACATACTTAACCCAAGACTTGAAGTTCTTCCAATTAGGAATGAACGTCTTTGGTAAAGCCTTGGCATACTGCGATAACACCGACTCTGCCATTACTTTAAGTAAACAAATAGGTTTCATTGCCAATGATGAGAACAATTACTTTGACAATTGCTTGTGTCAATTGAGGGAGACTAGTAAGCCTCAGTTGGAACAACATTGTTCTAAAATGTTGCTTGGACCTGATTCGCCTGTTCTACCTGAAGTTGAAGAATACCTTGAGTATTTAAAACATTTAGCACATGAATCCCTGTCTTATGTTGAGATCATTACTTTCATGTATTTGATGGAGCAGGTCTATCTTGGGTGGGCTAATTTCCATCTTCTCAAAGGGAATGATCGTGAAGATTTACCGTATAAGCATAAAGAGTGGATTGTTCTTCATAGTGGAGATAAGTTTTCCTCTTGGGTGGAATTCTTGAAAAGTGAAGTGAATAGAGCAGTGATTTCGCAGGACGATTGTTCTCAATGTGAGGAGACCTTCTTGAAGGCTTTAAATTTGGAATTAGCATTTTTCGAATCGTGTTATTCCTATAAAGAATAGTTGTAGAAAGTAGAAAGTTTTCACTATTAAAAAAAAAAATAAAAAAAAAACATATTACAGTTTATAAAAAACTCCAATTATTTAGTTTGGTCTAATACGCAATAGTATTTATCAAAGTGCCTAAGTAATATGTATTTGTCAATAAATACAATTCTAATGTTAAGCTAGTACGAGCTCAAAGCACGTGTATGGATGCGGAAAATGTTTGCAACACTCCAGGATATTCCCTATTAAATATCTAAAGGATGTCCCTTCTAATAAACGCTTCTTTATCCGATGCGGATCCTGAACTGTAAACACTATTTGTTGTATTGTGTTTGAACTTTCTAAATGCAACATAGTACGTTCCAACGTTTTGCGACATGAATAGTATCATGCTCAAAAACATGAGCGCTGCATCAAAACCATAAAGAAATGCTTCATGCGAAATAAGATACCCATCATTTCCTTGGATATATTCAATTAATCTGAATATAGATCTTATGAATATNAGTATTGAGCATGCTAAAAGAGTAAGCAAAATAGAATTCCAATTATTGAACTGCGAAGGAACATTTCTAGTCATCATAGTACATTCATTTGGGTGTTTAAGGACTCTATAATGAAAGATCACTTCCACGACCATAAACATCCCAAAGAAAACTACCTGTACTATCAAAC